GCGCCGCCGCGACACGTGCGAACCGTCGCCCACTGCCCGCAGATGGCCGAGCCGTTCGCGCCTACACCCCCCCCCCCCTGCGAGTGACGAGGGAGGGGGTGGCGAGCGCCCCCGTGTGTGCCGCCGCGCCACTCGAGCCGGCCAAGCGCCCGCCCTGTCACCGCGCCCTCCCCCTCCCCCCACCAGGGATGGGGGCGCGCAGCTGGGCGGACGCCGCCCCGTGGCGCATCCTCCAATCCAGTAATTAGACCGGCAACCGCGCGTTGGCCGCGCGGTGGACCTTCGGCCCCCATCGCGTGCCCCTCCCCGCGCCGGGCGGTCGCGGCGCGGCGGGCGCGGACACGCGGCGGACAGAGAGAACAGGGCGAACAGCAAACATCGGGTAAGATAACCGGACCTCTTACTCCCGCCCAAGGCGAAAAGCACACCCATCTGGGAAGAGAACCGGGCCGCTCCCGGCTACCAAGTACGGCCTTGGGTGTCGCTCCTTGAGGGTCAGGCGCGGCGGCGTCCGGCGAGCGCCAGGGGGCTCCCGACAGTGCCGCACCCAGTGGCTGCGCCTAAGGGCAATAAGCTTCTAAGAGCTCGTAGGGCTGCTGTCGGTCCCAAAGGCAAAGCTCCCAAGAGCTCGTACAGCCTCGGCCGCCCCAAGGGCAAGAACCTCCCAAAAGCTCGTACAGCTACCGTCGCCCCAAGGGGAGCAAGCTCGCCCCAAGGGCAATAAGCTCCCAAGAGCTCATACAGCCGTCGTCGCCACTAGGTGCAATAAGTTCCCAAGAGCTCGTACCGCCTCAGTCGCCCCCGAGGGCAATAGGGCTACCGTCACCCCCAAGGGCAGCAAGCGCTAAGCTACCAAGAACATGTACAGCTACCGTCGCCCCCAAGGGCAGGAAGCTCTCCCCAAGGGCAATAACCTCCCAAGAGCTCGTACAGCCATCGTCGCCCCAAGGCCAAAGCTCGCAAGAGCTTGCGCAGCCATCGTCACCCCAAGGACAAAGCTCACATGAGCTCGTACAGCGACCGTCGCCCCCAAGGGCAGCAAGCTCGCTCCCAGGGCAATAAGCTCCCAAGAGCTCGAACGGCCGTCGTCGCCCTCAAAGGCAAGCTTCAAGAGCTCGGACGTGTGCTGAAGCCTTCGAGGGCAGGCAGCAAGCTCGCCTTCCAAGGGCAATAAGGTTCCAAGAGCTCATGCAGCCATCCATCGTCGCCCCCAAGGGCAGTGAGCTCCTTAGAGCTCATAGGCTACTGTCGCCTTCGAGGGCAGCAAGCTCGCCCCTAAGAGCAAAAAGCTCCTAACAGCCCGTACAGCCAACGTCGCCCCCAAGGGCAAGAAGCTCCCAAGAGCTACCGTCGCCCCCCAGGGGCAGCAAGCTCGCCCCCAAGGGCGATGAGCTCCCAAGCGCTCGTGAAGCCATCGGCACCCGAAGGGCAATAAGCTCCCAAGAGCTCGTACAGCTACTGTCGCCTCAAGGGCAGAAAGCCCGCCCCAAGGAAAAAATAAGCTCCCAAGAGCTCGTACAGCCATCGTCGCCCCCAAAGGCAATAAGCACCCATAGGCTCGTACGGTTACCGTCGCCCCCAAGGGCAATAAGCTCCCAAGAGCTTGTACAACCATTGTCGCCCCCAAGGGCAAAGCTCCCAAGAGCTTGTATAGCCTCAGTCGCCCCCAAGGGCAATAAGCTCCCAAGAGCTTGTACAGCCATCGTCGCCCCCAAGGGCAATAAGCTCCCAAGAGCTCGTACGGCTACCGTCGCCCCCCAGCGCAGCAAGCTCGTCGCCCCCAAGGGCAATAAGCACCCAAAGGCTTGTACGGTTACCTTCACCCCCAAGGGCAATAAGCTCCCAAGAGCTTGTACAACCATCGTCGCCTCAAGGGCAAAGCTCCCAAGAGCTTGTACAGCCGCAGTCGCCCCCAAGGGCAATAAGCTCCCAAGAGCTTGTACAGCCATCGTCGCCCCCAAGGGCAATAAGCTTCCAAGAGCACGTACGGCTACCGTCGCCCCCCCCCCAGGGCAGCAAGCTCGCCCCCAAGAGGAATAAGCTCCCAAGAGCTCGTACAACCATCGTCGCCCCCAAGGGCAAGCTCCCAAGAGCCCGTGCAGCCTCAGTCGCCCCCACGAGCAAAGCTCCCGAGAGCTCGTACAGCCTCAGTCGCCCCAAGGACAATAAGCTCCCAGGAGCTTGTACGGCCGTCGTCGCCCCCAAGGGCAATAAGCTCCCAAGAGCTCGTACAACCATCGTCGCCCCCAAGGGCAAAGCTCCCAAGAGCCCGTGCAGCCACAGTCGCCCCCAAGGGCAATAAGCTCCCTAAGAGCTTGTACTGCCATCGTCGCCCCCCCCCCGGGCAATAAGCTCCCAAGAGCCCGTGCAGCCTCAGTCGCCCCCAAGGGCAATAAGCTCCTCAAGAGCTTGTACAGCCATCGTCGCCCCAAAGACAATTAACTCCCGAGGGCTGTAACAGCTACCGTCGCCCCCAAGGGGCAGCAAGCTCGCCCCCAAGGGCAATAAGCTCGAGAGCTAGGACAGCTACTGTCGCCGTTAAGGGCAAGAAACTCCCAAGAGCTCCCACGGCCGCCCGTCAGACCCGCGATAGTGGCGCCCGTAGCGGTCTGCCACCCCCCCCCCCGGTCATCCCGCGGCGCTTGCCCGGTCGCCACCGGCGCTCTGCTCCTTCAGCGCACCCTGCCGAAGCTTGTCTAAGCTCGTTCTTATCAACCAGGAAGCAGAGATAGCAGAAATAGCATTTCTCGTCCCCCGAGCAAGTGATTGTTCAAGCTGTGCAAGCCAGTGTAACCTTTGTTCAACCATCTCCCGAAATGAACATTAGACAAATCGGAATGCCGAAGGTCCAATCCCAGGTGACACCACTAATCGGTCCGCGGCGTCGCATTGTATTCTGCCAACAACCACCGACCCGCACCACTCGGTCAAACTGACCCTCGACCGCTCACGCGGCTGCTCCTCGCCCGGCAAAGGCGGTCAAGCCACGCAAAGACGAGGGCACGTCAGAGCCCGCGTGGTCCGGAACAGCGACAGCCGATAGGTAGCCGTGGTGTGCCTGCGAACCGACGGCGCGCCGCTGCGCGCGCTTTAGGTCTGTAAAAAACTCAATAGACAACATCTGGGACCACCACGATCACCCCGTTCCGGAAGGGTCACTGCCCCCTCGACTCTCCCTCAAACACCATGTTCCTTTCTCCTTGGCCCTGTCCCACTGCCCGTCCCATGACTCCAGCGGACATTCACCCATGCCCCAGCTGTGAGCCATGCGGCCGGGCGCCGCCATACGACACCGTGACCGATAAGGCCGGGCTGTTTACTTTATTGGGTCTCCGCGCCCGGTCCGCCGCGCCCGGTCCGCCGCGCCGCGGCGCCGGCGGGCCCGTGGACCGCGCGGACAAAGGGAGGGCCATTCCCGTTTTTGAGCGGCATTTCACTCGATGCTGCTACCACGCTGCTATCGCATTTTGCGAGCTGAAGTCACACATGTGACGACATTTTGGCAGGGTTGGAGATACGGATGTACGGATGTCATGGAAACCCAATAGCACGTGTGATAGCGCACGCCGGCAGCGGCCGTAAACAGGGCCCCGGCCCGGCGCCTAGATCTGGCTGCGTGCGGAGTGCTTCGATGACGTCACCCACCCGGCTCCGCTCGCTCAGCCGGCGCGCAGGGGTTAAGCGCCGCTGCACCGTTGCAGCGCGCAGCGATACCAGGGTGCAGGTGGTCACGGGCCAAACCTGATATCAGCCCTGAAAATGTCACCCGAAGTCACCAAGTCACTGACCGCGTTCGCCCCCAAGGGTACCGCACCGCACCCACCAGCCCCCAAAGGCTTCAAAGACCAACAGCAGGCCCTCAGCCGCTGCCACACTCCATATGCACAGGGACGTCGGACCCCGTCCCGCTCCCCCGCCGCAGTCGGCAGTCGCGCTGGCAACCAGTCACCGGACTGTGACAACAACAGGAGACCAGGCAGGCGCTAACCCACAGTCTGGGTCCTCACGGAGCGCTCCCACGACCACAGCTGCCGCCGTGGCGCGCTTCAAGCGTCAAAAAGCTCTTGACGAAGCAACGAAAAAAAAAAACGTCCACGACCGTCTCTCCCAAGCCGATATTGCCAGCCTATTCAATTTGTAGCACGAGATGTCGGACAACACCATCCAGATTAGACAGCGCGTGCAATGACGCAAGTCGCGCGAATCTGCTACCCGCTGATTATACATCGACAGCTGACAGCCATGACAATAAGCTCCCAAGAGCTGGAAAGTAGCGCCCTCGCGGTCTGCCCACAAAAGCATCCCTGCTCTCGAGAGCGCAGGTGACTGCGCCCGTCAATCTGTCGCAGCACCCGGCCAGTCACACAACAGCGAACTCGGCCCTTCGCTTACCTGTAGTCAGTGGCATCTACTGACAAACCTCGCGTCATGAGTCGTCACAGGCGGTTGATTCTCTGCCTCCCAGCTCCTGCGCTGCGCTGAATCGCAAGGCACCGCCCCTCGGAGTACCATGCCACCACTCCCTCTTTCACCGTCACTATTCATAGCCTCTCTGTCACTCTGTCACTCCGAGTGTCACACAATGAGAGAAGCCAAAAAAATTGTTGAGACCATGACCGATGGTCCGTCCCCTTCGCTGGCTCGTCTCTGACTGTCCTATATCCCGCGCTCCCCTCGTGCCTCCCGCCCCAGCCCGCCCGCTCCGCTTATCTCTCTCCCTCCCACCCTCCCTCCCTCTCCCTCGCTCTCTCCGGCATCTGTCTGCCCTCGCCCAACGCCTCTTAGCCGGGGGCCGCTAAGTTGCCAATAGCACGGATCCCCCCAGCTAGTAAATTGACACAACCAATCGTCATGATGACATTCCGAAAAAGCTCTGTCCGATCGACGAATGCACGCTCCGACTACTTTCTTGTGTCTAAGACTGCATAGTGCATAGGTGAGCCTGGTGCCGGATGCGTCGTATTTGTTCCACCTGACTTACCATGCATCCGTCATTGCAGCGTGGAGAATAACCGCACTGCGATGACTCTCGCCAAGAAGCATTTCGGCATCCCGACGGTGCTGGACCCCGAGTACCTGTCGTCGCCGTACATCGACGAACTTTCAGGTAAGCACAGATTGCAAGGTTGCACTCCGATGTTGCAAATTTTGTGCATTTGAAACATAATCATGTCGTACGCATGATGCGTTTTATCTGCCTACATTTCACAAAATAACAAACGTTTCCATTCGCAATGCGGGAGTAAGATGTAGAATAGCAAACCGAGAGTGACATTTGTAACCGGTGCAGTTAATAAGCCGATACAATTTGTTTGTTTTTTCAACATCATGATAGTCATGCCATCATGTCATAAGAGCATATCGCAGCCAAAATGTGGGAAGCCCGGCGGCCGGTGATTGCGCTCTCATCAAAACGGAGTACAAGATGTGGACTTTGCATATTCGCAGAGGAATTGGTGATAAGATTCGCGCCGGTGCTGCTGTTATGCTCCGATCGCATGCTGGCAAAGGGCTAGGAACTTTTGAGTGGGGTCATTGGTGCAGTTTAAACGGGCAGATTACCCCATAGTTTCTGCTCTGATGGGGAGTTTGCCGTTGAGTTCCGGTCGGAGCGGACCGTGTGTCTGATCCTACGCTATACCTAGGCACTGCGTGTACTCGTAGGTAAGGTTTGTCATGCAGGTCCGACTTCAAGTTCACGTATGACAACAAGTTCTGGCCATTTCTGGCCTGCAGTGCTTTCTTTATGCCCATACTTTTTATTTGTCATTCCTGCTATTCAAATTTCAAACGTTCTGACCAGGAGATCCATTCAGATATCCTCACATAGTTCAATGTCAGTTATTGTCAATATACTACAGATATGAACACAGAGAAGATCAGAAAGTTGACTGTCGAACTCATGGCTGTACCCGAAGCCCTTATCCGACTCAATCGGTATAATTGCAATTTATATTCCTTAGCAATAATGCACGCGCCATGAGAACAAAACGATAGTTATCTGCCGACCTGGAAATGCTCAGTCGTCACATGTTCTTGAAGTTGTTACGGAGCGAGCGAAGCGAGCGTAGTCTTTCTTTAGATTAACCCGCGCCCTGCTGGGGGTCCTGGATTTCCACGCCCTGCTGGGGGGGGGGGGGTGTTTGAACACCCCCCTTGTAACTCGGCTCCTGGGCCACGTAGCGATACACGGAAGGCGGCGTTCGAAAGAGCGTAAAAAATAATGACGAAATCACTTCGGTCAATTTTTTGGTCAGGTCAAAGGTCAGGTCACCAGAGGTCATTGAAGGCAAAATTTCGCCGATTTCCAGGTCGAATGTCAAAAATTTCCAAGAAGCCAACGCATAACTCGGGAACCAATAGAGCTACAGCGCCGCGGAAAAGCGCATTCGATAGCCCTATTAACGCCCTTTCTGAGTAATCCTCTCAGATTTGACCTAACGTCAACGGTTTTGCCTGCAGGGGGCAAAAACTGCAAAAATAGCCGATTTTTTCGAAAACAGTTTTTCTGCAATAACTTTTGACCCAAGCCTTGTACGAGCTTACTTTTACCGGCATCGTGTTCCTCTCGTCAAGACGCATCGAATGAACTATAACTTGACCTTGAAAGGTCAACTTGAAAATTTGACCTCAGGTCAAGGTCATGACCTGACCGGAAAGGGTCATGTTGCATATCAGTCGATCCGTATCGTCGAGCTGAACACATCTTAGGCGTTTTCATCGCTCTAGCATGCCTCTATCAAAAGTTATTTGCGAAAAACTGTTAGATACCATTCGTGACCTAAGATGACCTCAGGGCATAAACAAGGGTCACGGACACCATTTTCAAGTTCAGTGTGTCTAAACCACTTGTAATTCGGTGTTTGGGAGTGTTTATAATGTCTTTCATCCAAAAGAGGCGCATTTCATTTTTCTCCCATTGATTTATAATGGGGAGGTCGCAAAATTGACCTGACCTTAGGTCATCGATATCAAAATTCTGAGATATACATTTTGTATATGCTATTACTCTTAGCAATCGCTGAAAGTTTCAAAGCGATCGGTCACTCGGTGTAGCTATGACAGACATTGAAAGTTTTTATGAGGTGAGGTCACTTCAAGTGACCTGGTGACCTGACCTTGAATGACCTTGGTCTGAAATTTTCACAACATGTGTAGAATTGATGTATGATAAGGTGTACCAAAAACGGCGGCGCTCCGCGCCGCCGTTTTTGAGATATTCGCGAAAAACCACAAGGGGGGGTGTTCAAACACCCCCCCCCAGCAGGGCGCGGGTTAACGGAAATTTCTGAGTATGAGCGGCCGGCCGGCCTGCCGGCCGTGGTCACGCTTTTGCGAGGCTTATATCTCAGCAACCACTTGACCGATTTACATGCGGTAATTTTTGTAGGGTAGCTTCATTCCTTCTACCAAGTATTGCACTATTCCCGATGCATGTGGGTGACCCCTTATGCACGTGCCACGTGCAAAACGAAGAGGTGTCACTTTTGTAATTGTTGCAATATCTCGGTAACTACTGGGCCGATTGCGCTGAGAGTTGGCATGTAGGTAGGCACCCACTAGGCAATGCATATCCATGTGCCAGAGTTGGGGTGCTGCTGCACGTGCGCACGTGCAGGGGTCGTTTCCAGATCTCGAGAACGGCTGAACCTATTGCGCTCAAATTTGGTACACGGTTACGGAGCAGTTAGTAGGGTGCCGTGCACAAGTCAGTTGGGACCCATTTTGCTCGTGCGCACGTGCAGGGTGCCGCTTCCAGATCTCGAGAACGGCTGGGCCGATTGTGCTCAAATTTGGCACATCGCTAGAGACCGGTTAGTAAGGTGCCGTGCACAAGTCAGTTGGAGGTACCCCCTCGCAATTTCGCACGTGCAAGGCCCACCCTCTCGCTCGGGCTCCGTTAGTCGCCACAAAAGGCGTTATACTGGTTTCTAAGCAACCGTATTTTATGGAAACTTATTGCATTATTTGCATTTTCTTCTGAATATCCGGCCTGTCCGAACAAGACAACATTTTAATCTTCCAGACCTCCCCTCCAATAAAGAAACATCCGTCATGTGCTCCCACGCACCTCCCCAACCATAGCAACAACAATGATAATCCCGGTCATTATGCTAACCATACCCAGCGCGGCCGGCACGAGACCGAATTTATCGAGGTCGGTTCGGAACGCACAGGAGCCTGTGGGCCGCCGGGACGATTTATGAGAGCTGGGTCACCGGGTTAAGGGCCACTGCGTTCAGCGCTCGTCAAGGTCACGTCGTTCCTGCCAACGACACGTTATTCATGGAGCTGCCAGACGTGAGAGGCTTCAGTCATAGGCAATGATGTGAACTGTGAGAGGTACCGCAAAGTGAGGGAAATTACAGGCGTTTTGATGGGTATGCTGATTAATTTATGCGTCACTTACTGACATTTATCGGTCTAAGAATATCATGGGCTAAGCAAAACGGTACCGTTTTCCACGAGGTATGTGACTTTCAGCTGAATTAGTTACTTGCAATCTTTTGTTGAAAAATGAATGGTTTTAGGTTGTTGCTTCACGATGTTTAAACAATCCACGTACCCACGAAACCCACGCATCCACATCCACGAAATTGATCTCATATTCAGATGAAGGCGCAAGTCGAAATATATTAATCTGTATTTTTCTTTTGAATATAATTACTAATATGAGCATAAGGTTATTATTAACATACCTAATAATTACATTCATAATGCTCAAAAGTGCCATAGCAAGATTACAATCCACGTACCTATCATTTTGATCCCGATGTGATTTTCCATTGCATTCTACAAAATAATACACCTGTAGTTATTGATCAAACGCCTATTTTTACTTCCCGCCTTCTCTCTCGTTTTCTGCTGTAGCCGAGGTCTTCTGTACTTGTAGTTTAATCACTTATATAGGCGTTATGATGCACAACACCTTTAGATGACCACTTTCTCTGACTCCGTGGAGCCTGTATCGCCCTTCGCGCTATGTCTGACTTTGCCTCTGTGCCCTGCAGGTATGACGTACCTGTCCTACTTCATGAACAAGGACGGTCCCGGCTACAAGTCGACGCTGGACTGGGTGCGGCGCGAACTCCCTGACGAGCGCATCAACAACTTCACGGTACGGCCTGCATCATCTCGCTCGGAGATAGCCAGAGCCCAGAGCCCATGTGCGTCCCTATTTCACAAAGTCTTCTCTGTAGTTTGGGTAGAAGTTTCTCAGAAGTAACTGATCCCACTGTTTTGAATGACCTGGAGCACAGTTCCTATCGATTATATTAAGTACACAACCTATGAGTTACAATGATAGGCAGAATACTTCTGGCTAATCAGCTAGGTTTTCATCGCGCTCACTGGGCTTATGAATCATCTGACACGCTCGCCCCACTGTTCACCTGCCTCTTATCGCTTCCACAGTCCGACTGGAACGACGGTGTCAAGCTGAACAAGCTGGTGAAGAACCACGGAGGTCGTCTTCCGCCGCCCGAGAACCTCAGCCGTCGGCCAGACAACTGGGAGGACAACATCCAGAAAGGTGAGAAGGTTGGGAAGATACCCCAAACGGTGAGAGACTGAGAGGACAACCCACAGAAAGGTGAGAGGACTGGGAGGATGGCATTCCGAAGGGTGAGAGGCTACGAGGACGGATTCCAGAAAGGTGAGCGAATTATATTTTTTTGTTGTTGTTGGCAGGCTTCTTTCGTTGTGTCCCTCACCTCGTGTCATTCAATAAAATGGAATTATCTCCTTCATTAGACATACATTCGCCGTTGGTTGCGTCTTCGCTTTCCAATGTGCCTCATCGCTATCCTGCAAACCCTCCTGCCGATACAATCTCATAAAACGGTGCCCTTTTTGTTACACTAACGGTGCATGCCTCAGCAACCTTTGTCAACCGTTGCATTTCGCCGCTCAGAGAGTAGTTCACCGTTCATCTGTATATCGTTCACAACCGGTCCGGGGCGGCTGCCGAGTGTCGAGCCTCAGACGGCCGACGCCCTAGTGATAGCAGTTCGGCTAACGGTTCCTGATTTATCTGTCTGCTACCTCTGCTCCATTGCTACTTTCTCCTGCACACCAGACGGACTCCAGACTCGCGTCCGGCTTCCATAGCCTTGATCCGATCAGAGGTGCTGCTAAAAAATCCTTTTTAGATCCCATAGACACCACACCTTTCTTCCTTGTTCGGGTAATCTACAATTGAAGCTATCGCATTGCATCTTCTATTAGTATCACTGATGTTAGTTGTCGGACTTTCGTCCCCGTCTTGAGTTGAGATGTTAGTTTCACAACGTTTCGGCCAGTTACTTCTCCGGCCGTCGTCAGGTGTTCTTTGGCCCTTAGAAGGACCTGGATGTTGGTGGCGTTGCGCCGTACGCGTCATACCGTTCGAAAGCTCCTGTAGTCCCGCTGACTAGTCCCGCTGACTACAGGAGCTTTCGAACGGTTTGACGCGTACGGCGCAACGCCACCAACATCCATGTCCTTCTAAGGGCCAAAGAACACCTGACGACGGCCGGAGAAGTAACTGGCCGAAACGTTGTGAAACTAACATCTCAACTCAAGACGGGGACGAAAGTCCGACAACTAACATCAGTGATACTAACACCTCGTCTCAAGCATTCAGAAGAACTATAGGTATCTGCTATTAGATTCTACTTTGAAGGAGGTATGTTAGCAGAATGAAATCGACAGCTTGCCTTATAGTTTACAGATTTTGTTTCGCTCATCGCAAGTATTTGCACGGTTAGTTAGTATTTCGTTTTCGGCATGACACGGTACAATACTTTCATCAAATGACAGATCCCTCATCAGCAGTCAGTACCCCCACGTCCCGATTGCTCGACTCTGACATTATCCCCCTCGCCCCTCCCCACAGCGGTGGACGCCGGAAAGCGGCTGGGCGTCCCACCCCCTCCGCTGACGGCGCGTGACCTGGCTGACCCCGAGGTGGACTACATCGCGCCCATGTCGTACGTGGCGCGCTACATGTGGCTGCCGCGGAAGGAGGTGTCACAGAACCAGCTGCGCGCCTCCTGTACCACAAAGGCCATCAGGGTCGGCGACCAGGTGCGTATAGGCGGGCTGGCTGCCTTAGGTATGTGTTTGCGGGGATGAGGTAGGTGCAGAAGGGGAATGACAGCGGGCCTGTGCTAGAACTGAGGGTAAACACTTAGGGTTAATATTACACTTCAGTGTTGGATAGCATATCGAATGGGATGTCTATGGGTTCACAAATCATGATTGAAACAATAATAAAGTGATACAACACATATGGTCTACACTCGACACTCTACACTGACCGCTTATTGGCGGGCTTACAACTAATAAGGCAGACATGTGGTAGAGCGAAGAAAGAGGTATCAACAAGCGAGCTTACGTAGAGTAAAATATGTAAAAAAAAAAAAACAATGAATGTCTATCGCAAGTCATATGACTCATATCTTGGCTTAGCGCCTGACTGACCCGACATGCATCTCTCCGTCACCGCCTTTTCCAGGTGAACTTCCGTCTGGAGTTCGACGGTGCGCCGGTGGACCCCTCGGAGCTCCGTCTGGACGTTCTCGGACCGGGCTCCAGGACCTCCCGGGTACAGACTCGGCCGGACGACACGGGTATCACGTGCAGCTTCACACCGGAGGTTATGGGACAACATCAGGTGAGAGATGGAAGCAGCAGGGGAAATAGCGGGGCGCTAAGGTGAAGGGACTGCAGGGAAGTATCTGTAACGTGAGACGAGAGAGGAAAATGCGGGACCACGTTTGGAGAATTGTCCTGGACTGGGGGTGCTCGAGCTCTCCCAATTCCACGCCGGCTTGGCTTTGGAGCCGCGGCCGGGCGGCGCGGGTCAAGGTCACCGCTAGGCGGCGGCGGATTTGCTGCGCCCGAGCACCCCCAGCTGGTCACAATTCTCCACCTATGTGCGGGACAATACGAAGCGAGATGTAAGAGATGCCAGGAACCGTTGGTGATTAAAGACTCGCTGAAAGACACACAGGAATAAGTATCGTTCTTGGGCTGGGAGACAGAAGTCACGAGTAAAGCTCTTAATCCTCCCAGACCCATACTGCACAATAATTCATACTGAGAGCGCTGCATGTTGCAGACTGCATATTATATGGGCCCGTGCTAACAAAGGAGGCAAGGAACTTCTAGCTATAGCCTATATGCACACATCAAGTAGCATGCAGTAAGCCACCAACTTTGCTTGTGAATGCACCGTGAATCACAGAGCATCATTCGACCACGGAACATCCTGCTGATACTGATGGGCATCAGCTTCACGTGAGGATGATATGCTATCTCCTGATGGGAAGACTAACCACATACCAGTGGAACAATGCCAGACCACCCGTGACCAGCCCGGTCAGCCGGCGCTGGGGACTGGGGAGCCTCCTCTCACGGGTTCAGGCCGATGTACCGTGAGACCTGAGACCACCACCAGCAGAGCTCCGTCCGTGGTGGCTTTGTTCTGTGCTCCGGTTACGTTATGTGTGTTTTGTGCTGAGTGCCGTTATGAGTTGCCCAAGCATCTGATGATTGTGATTAGAGACCGGTTCTGGTCTGTGCAAAACTTGATAACAAGTTTCCTGTTCGGTCATTTTTGTGTTGACTTGCTTCACACAATCAATGAGAGAGTCGTTCGCCAGAAATGCCGAGGTATGTTGGTTTTATGGCATTTTTGTGACTTGAAATCCAGCACAATAATCGTGTGCCATTGCACTGGCTGAGGTAGCAAAACTTTGCAATGCCTGTGTTTCTCCGTGATTGTATGTTTGCAAACAGCCTTTTGATAAGTAACAGACCTGTAGATTTATCGATTTCCATAAAAAGCAATGAAAGCCACCTATATATAGCTTGCAATATCGATCTCGTCCACTCATATGTGTCTCATTGTGACTCCCGTGACTGTGATGTCACACAGGTACGGGTGTACCACGAGAAGGAGCTGGTCGAGGGGTGTCCGTTCAGCGTGCGTGCAGTGCCGCTCATCAGCCTCCAGCCCCGACCGTCCGGGATCGACCCTTGCGCGCTAGGCTCCACCGTCGAGGTGCTGGTAAGTCGGGGCCAGGATTCCTATAAGTTAGGGCGATGTCTGAGTGGGCGAGTATCTCTAACAGTTATTGGTCACTGAACTGCCTGAATGATGCATTGTGCTCAGTAATATTTGATCAAATTAACGTACATTTTCTATAGCCAACAGGCGAAGAAGACTGTCATTCGTTGTTCTGGAGGTGAATTTCGTCATGTTTTTCATTTGTATTTGTTACATCGTGTAAAATAATGATTGATGTTGACTGGATGGTTAAACTTGTGCTGCCTCTTCTCGCTCTATTTGGCCTATTTGACCTGTTTCCGCTCCCCCAGATCAACCCGTCGGAGGCTAGTGACGGCCGGATCATCGTGACGGCCTACTCGCCGCTGCACCGGCCCCTCGACTGTCCCGTCTCGTGCACGGATGGCGTCTACTCGGCCAAGTTCCAGCCGGACGAGGTCGGAGAGTGGAAGATCCACGTCACCTACGAGGGACAGCACATCCAGGGATCGCCCTTCAACTGCTTCGTCTACGACCCGCATGCTGTTCGGGTGGGTTGAAGGGTGACGACAAGGGTTTGAAGGGTTAGGGTTAGGTGTACGCTGGACATTTTTCCATGGAGACATGAGTGTGAAGGAGGAAACGAGCTACATCGTTGGTCCTATACCGGAACGGCCTTATTCTGAGGTCACGAGTCCCAAACTGGCGCGGCGCTGCTAGAGCGTCACAAAGCTGCCCCCAAGCTCCCACCAACATTTGTTTCTCCGTAGCCACAGTGTTCAACCACTGCTCATCCTACGTCTGACCGAAACCGCTGACCCGATGCTCAGTGAATTTACTGCTAACACCAAAACTGGCCGTCACTGACTGTCACTGACCGTCACTGACCGTCACTGACCGTTCTCCCTGGCCAGGTGGGAGAGCTGGAGGGCACTGAGCCGGGCCGACCGTTCACATTTATCGTGGACGCTCGAGACGCCGGCTGGGGCGAGGTGAAGACTGACATCGTCTGGGAGCAGCGCTCGCTCCACCACACGGTCACAGAGATTGAGAAGGAGATGTACCGAGTCACGGTCACGCCACCCGAGTATGGGAAATACCGCGTCTATATCTACTTCAACGGCGTGGAGATCAAAGGTTAGTATAGGTCAAAAACGTCAGAACAGTAGTAGGAATGAATTGAGGTGGATATGTTCGGACACATACTTCTCTATACAGAGAGGTCGTGGCTGGGATCATATGCGTGAGCTGAAAGAAAATACGTGTGCAGTACTACCAATTTGTAGCCGCTCTGAAGTGACGTAACTTTTCAATACAGCCTTTTTTGGAAATACAGACTGTTTGCGACGAGAAGGTTTTCAATACATGAATTAATATCTCGCTTTCCTACCGCCAGGATGTCCATTCAAGCTCCGAGTCGACAAGAACGGCAAGCACTCCATCACCAAGCGGTCGGCCAACACGGCGGTCAACGCCAGCCGACTGAACGAGCTGAACAGCCGTCTGAAGGCCTCGCCGCCGCCGCGCGTCAAAAACCCCGAGGAGGATGTCCAGTTCATGAGGTCCACCCTGGAGGAGATGAAGAGTAAGTGACACTGCATGCTGGAGGTGGTTGGTGCTGGGGATAATCTGATGCTAACCCGTGGGCTGTAATCCGTGAGGGAGTAAACTGATGATATTTGTGCTGGCGTGCCGAATTTATAATCAATCCTACGGCACTAGACCAAATGATGCTAGACGAAGAGAGTGGCACCCGTTTAATAATAGCGTGTTTATTTCCTATCCTGCTGGTTGATTCAAAAAGACATTTGCACCACTTTGTACTACGTCTTAAGTTGTTTAAGTTTCACAACTAAAATCGAAAGGCAGAAACGCCGTCCGTCCCTTTGGTTCAACATAAAAAAATCAGGTCAAAAGATCGGCCAAAGGCCCCAAAACAATAAAAAAAGGAACCAGCTGTGAGTCTGGATTATAACTACCACGGTTTGATATTTCTTGGAGTAGAACTGAATATATTGAATAATGTCTATGAAATATTACTTTAAACTCGCAGTAACATGGCGATCAAACGACTACTCTAGCCTCATATAGCCGATAACTCTGTTTAACCCTGTTAACTCGTTCCGATGGAGCGTTAACCGTTACCACTCTGTCTCGGAGTCTGTATCTGTCTCTCTAACCGGGCCACTAACGCGCCTCTCCGTCTGTAGGTGGGTTGCACCTTCAGACCACTCCGAAACACGCGGACCCGTACCGCTATCGGGCCGACGCGCAGCTCTCGCCACCAGAGGTCGCGCGCCACCTCAGCGAGTGGTACCGCCAGCAGCGGGACGGCAGCGTCGGCCGCCGCTCGCCGCAGCCGCACTACACGTCCCGGGCCGACCACTACGTCAGCGCGCCGCCGGGACGGCCCCGGTCCCGGTCCGGGTCAAGGTCACGGTCTCCGTCACCGGCCGGAGTGAACTACACATCGAGAACAGATCGGTACATCAGCAGTGAGGTGCGGCCGACAAGCCCCCGGCCGAGGTCGCCCAATAACTACACCTCCAGCTACTCGACCAAGACGGAGAGGTTTTCGTCTCTCCCGCGCGGCAGGAGTCCTCCGCCGACCACTACACACACCACGAGGTACTCCAGTCTACCACGAGCGACGAGCCCGCCACCGTCAAGCACCAGCTACACCACGAGGACAGAGCGGTACCTGTCCTCCGAGAGGAGGGGCCCCAGTCCTCCGCCGGGAGGAACCCCCTCCAAACTGGAGCGTCAGATCGCGCCCGGTCCTCGCCATCACTCACCCTACACCAGCCGCCTAGACCACGAGCCGGCTCGGCCGTCCAGCCCTCCGGCTGTCCGGACTCTGACCACACGTACCGAGCACTACTCTTCTAACCAGCGCAGTGTGTCGCCGCGGCCGGAGGCGCCGAGTTACACCACCTCTCGGGAGCGGTATCTGAGCCCTCGCCGCCGGTCACCCTCGCCACCAGCCACGTCCACGTACACGCGCCACGTGGAGCGCCACGAGCGGCACGTGCAGCGGCGGAGCGACAGCCCGGAGAGTGGCGATTCGCCGCCGCGCCGCGCCGCCTCGCCGCCGCTCTACTCAAATACGGTGCAGTACCGACCGGAGAGACACGAGCTCTCGCAAACGCTGCTCAGTACGAGACATGTGAGCTCCACTGAGAGGCGGAGCACGAGTCCACTGCCGCCGAGGGGCCGGGACGAGGTAGACTCGCCGCGGGCTCTGCCAGGCCGGCCGAGGGTGACGCGACGGCTGGTGGAGGAGACGGAGATCGATTACGTCCTCCCGAGACGGTCGTCACCGTCGACGGACTCGAGTCCGGACCGACGAGGCACGCCCGGCCGGCTTCCCTCGAGGTCGTATAACGATCACCCAGAAAGGGAGACGCCGGAGAGGTTTATTTCGACCAAAACACATCGAGTGCCTGGTCGGGAGAGCCCAGAACCGAGATACACACCAGACAAATATACAACGACGAAGACGTACAGAACACGTCCTCGAGACAGTCCAGAGCCTCGGAGTACCTCCGATACATACACTTCAACCACGACGAAAACTCATCGAACGCACCAGTGGGACAGTCCGGACGACCGCTCACCGCCTGATCGGCACACCACAGTCAAAACATATCGGCCAAAGGAGAGGGACAGTCGCGAGCCGACGCCGGACTATTACACCACGAGTTCTGTGACTCGCGAGTACCACTCGGAAGACCGACACACGCTCGACCGCAGGACGTACCCGGAGACGTTCCCAGAAACCTTCCCTCCCCCGCGGGTACCTCGGTCGGACGAGAGATCCACCCCAGAACGGAGACCAGACGTGCTGGAGAAGTACACAGCCCCCAAACCATACCGGCCTGATGAGCGAGACACTGTGGACCGACGCTCCACGCCGGAGGCCTACACCAGCTCGATGACTCGGACGTCACGGAGGACTACAGAGGAGCGCACTGGTACCGAGAGACTGACTGTGCCGGGAAAGACGACCCAACGGCGTTCGCCATCGCCGCGTTCTGAGCCGCTGCGGCGGGTTGACCGGCCAGAACCGGAGGCACCCATCAAGAAAACTTCCAAAGTTGTGCGAAATGGGGTCGCTCGACCTGCCGATGATCCAAATGCGCTGCTGGATGATCAAATCCAGAACGTAACAGAGCGCTACTTCGCTCCCGGTGAGGCACTGCCTAGGAGCGACCAGCTCCTGCGGCGTAGCTCGCCTCCTCCCTCGCCCCCTGATGCCTCTCAGGCGCTGGACGTGCGTCGGCCACCGCCTGGGGGTAACTACGACGACCTCAAACAGCTGTTTGAGCGCTGCCCGAGCGCCGTGCGCCGGGAGTCCACCGAACCCGAGCCGGGTCTGCGGCTCGTGCGCGAGACAAAACGGCTCGAGGACGGCCGAGAGGTGACCCGAGAGGTGGAGGAGTACACGGACGAGAGGCGGCACTCGCACTCGCGCGTCGAGCGCTACAGGATCTCACAGCCCGGCTACGAGGCCACTAGCTTCCACTCGCTGAAACGGACAATCGTCAAAGGTACGACCAAGCGGTGGCGGCGAACTGGAGCTTGCACGGCTTCTAATCCGGTATGACGGACTGCGGCTCTCTCTCGCTCGTCTCCCAGCCTGTTTCTGCGGGCTGATGCACGGCATTCTTTCTCGGCGCGGCTGACGGCTCGTCGATTGGTTCCATCAATTGGTTTTGTACTACGCACTCCTGCAGTGGCATTCAGGTGGTGAATAATGGCTTGGGCTAACTTTTCCTACTAACACAGCTCCTTCGCCCCCGCAGTATGAGCTTTTGCGTCGTCTCAGAGCAGAAAGTACACGAGATATGGCTTTGCTTCGTAGCTAATAGTACATAGATGTGCTGAGTTTGTGCCAAGCTTCGTAGGGGCTAGTTCAGTGCCTGATCTAGTTGTTGCTGGTACTGGAATGTGGTTAGTGTTGTTGCCTTCCCTGTGCTATTCAGGAGATATCTTTTGTGTGCTTTCAGATCACCAGGTGATTCGTGCCGCTGATTACGACGAGAAGAGGAAGGCGATTGACCAGGTCACCAGCAACACGCTCAACTTCAACCAGATGAACCTGGACGGTCGGTCATTGACGGTTACACCCGAGGGCTAGCTGTGATGTAGTATCAGACTCATCCTCACAGAAAAAGTTATGCAGATAACTAGATGCAAATAAAGCATGCATAAAGACCTGTGTCTTACGACTGATTTTTTTTTTTTTTTAGCGTCGAATAATTGAAAGCGTATTTGGCTAAAGTTAGATGCGTTGCTCATGCATCCCATTTATCTTAGCAAACGTCACGGTGTAAAAAGTCAAAGTCATTTTCATTCTTATGCCATTTTACATTGTTTAGGCGCTGTCTCCTTGCTTTGGCAGCCTTTAATCCATCTCATATAAGCACAAGTCGACATTAAATTTTGTCTTTACCAACTCGCAGAATGGAACGTGCGAGATCGCTCCAGAAGCCATTCCTCGTTCGAGTACGACTACGACCCGGCTGCGCACATCAAGCACATCATCAAATCAGGTCAGTCTGGAGTGGGTGCCGTTTTAATTGATTAAGTTTGCTAGCTTTTCAAATGACAACAAGAACATATGATCATTTGTATATCCAGTAATCAAATTTTAGGGTTGAAATACACAGCAAGCATGCAGGCATGCAATTTACGGTTCATTTTTTTCATTTAAGTACACTGGTGAGTCTTAGACTAACAGCTTACGCCACCATCCCCTCTTCTTACAGCTCGGCCTGACTTCGACCCATCATCAGCCGAGAAGATCCACGTGCCACGGGCAGACAGGGACAAGAGCGGAACTCTGGACCGCTCTGGGACGCTGGATCGGTCTGGGACGCTGGACAGATCCACTCTGGATAGATCCACGCTCGACAGATCCACACTGGATCGCTCAACCCATGACCGCTCCACGTATGACCGTTCTACTATCGATCGGTCCACCACTGACCGTTCTACCATTGACCGTTCTACTATTGATCGCTCTACCAATGATCGGTCTACAATCGACCGGTCCACCATCGAGAGGACGGAGAAGTTTGAGCGCCACTCGGACTCCATTAGGGGACACTCGGAGTCGCTCCGAGGACTCGAGGAACAGGTGAGGAGGCGGGGATAAGATGGAACTTGGAAGCTCAATAAGAATGAGTGGCAACAAGCCGAAGTATATGTATACAATTTTCAAAGTTTTTTTCCCTACGTAATCATGTGCAATGCCGCAAGTGATCTGATAGGTGACATTTGTTTTCATTTGCTCACAAGCTATAAAGCTACATACATCCTGTTTGCAACTTGCAGCTAGCATTCCGTTCAGTCACAATCAATGACTGAAGTTAAATGATCTCAAATGTCTCCTGTTTACAGGTGATGCAGTCGTCGTCGCGTCTTCTGCAGTCAGCTGTCCACTCTGACGTCACCACCACCCACGGTGACGTCACGGTGCGCGGAGCCGGTCTGCGCACAGTGCCCGTGTCGCGGCCCGCCGAGTTCTTTATTACGGGCCCACCCGGTACTGCTAAACACGACATCAGGGTCACAATCAGAGGTCAGTAAACTCGATCGTCTCGATCACCTGAGTTCGGTAGCATTTATATATGTTAATCTGTATCAGTCTGTAATTCTATCTCCAAGATTATAGGTTACAATAAACAGTCAGTGCCATTAGATTCATCGCATAGGACACCGGATAACAATGTGGTCATTATTCAAATCATACACCTTCCGCATTTATGTATACAATGCCTCCGATTATATATCGCGTCTTGCCGAAAGTCATAGCCATTCGTTGTTCCCGATTGTATCTCACATACCGTTTCTTCCCTCAGATCCGTCAGACCGACGCGTACCGTGCACTGTTACAAAGTCTGGAGACGAGTTTGCCGTGAAATATCTGCCACAGGTAAGCGAAGAAGCACTCTTGTCTGTTTTCCCAAGTAATGCTATATTGGATTTCTTTACTACCGCCAGGTTACGCAGAACTCTAATGATTGTTCTTGGTCGTATTATCACATTTTTAAGCTGGCCTTTGTATTCATGCACTTTCGTTTGGTTATATTTAAGCAATTAAAGTGGAGCCGTAAGGGCCGTCCACCCTGAACCGGCACCCAGCCAACCCTCTCACCTCCCTCTCCCTCCCCCCCATTTCAGACGGTGGGTGACCACGAGGTGGACATTGAGCTGCGCGGTGACCCGGTGCCCGGCTCTCCATTGGTCAGCAGTGTCTACGACACGTCCCAGATCAGCGTGGCCACCATCCCCGACGGCACCGTCGGCAGGCCCGTCCAGTTCGAGAGTGAGTCAGTGGGGTAGCTGAAGGATAGAGGGAGATGACGCTATAAGTGGTTGGCTGCTTCAAAAAGGGTGGCTGAAAGAGCCTGTGTTAAATGTTGAACGCTACAATACTGTAAAACCTCTGATGGTATGGAAATATGCTAAAACAATATGGTATGCACAATATTACGATGCCCCCAAAACCAAACTCTTGAAACATGTGCAAAACGTCCAATTACAGCTAGCCTCATTCTCAGCGTGTCGGTTCCTTTCCTCGCATTTTTATCTCGTCTCCTCGACACATTATCCTATACTGACAGGAAGGTCCACAGCTGACCCGTAACCCCTCCCCCTCCGCCCCTCAGTTGACGGCTCCCGCGCCGGCGCCGGAAACCTGGAGATCCTGGTGAACGGCGGCCACGTGACCTCTTACGTCAAGGACCTGGGCCAGCAGCGGTTCATGGCCTCGTTCGTGCCGCACTATGCCATGAAACACGTGATCGAGATGAAATTCAACGACGAGGACGTGCCAGGTCAGTCCCGGGAGCTATTGTGCATTCGAGCCCCGGATGGTGTGTATCTCCGAATGTACCCTGAGAGCCCGACGTTACCCGTATAAACCACTGAAGTATGAGCCAACTTACGTAGGAATGTATTATATATTTTCAGTAACCTTTCCCAGTGTCGGATAGTTCTTTTTTCATTGAGCGAAAAAACATATGCTTCCATTGAAAGCATGATACCTGTTTCAACGCTTCTGCCTATTTGTGTTAGTGCATGTGTCTATTTTAAAAGCCGTGTCTGTCCATTTTACTGACCGTCTCTACAAGAAGACTCAGACGGGGCTTATGCTTAATGATTTTCCTAAGCGGGGGAAATTGCCTTATGCGTGAGAATATCTCGACAAAGTTCTACAACCGCGCTCCAAATTGTGGGCATCTCCCACTATTTCCTCATATTGTAATTCAGGTATTTTGCATGTACTTCCTGTGCGTTTTGGAACCTTCTCATGGTATAAGGATGCAAGTACTGTCCTGAGAACATGCTCCGCACCGTTATTGAACATAAATTGAAACGATTCATCCATACCGCGAATAAGCTGGTTCACCATCTCAATCTTCCCATAGATCACACTCGAGATAAAATTTGTGTTATGGTGTCAGGTGCTATTGTGCTATTGTATTCATAGTTACCGATAGCTCCCTGATAACTACAGGGTGATTTTTTTTACTTGTTAAAAAGTAATGAGGTTTAGTTGCGTTAAAATGCAAATATATATTGCAAAATAATATACCAGCATGACGAGCATTCTGGGACATTTTGATTTCATGCAGACACGATGTGAAGGAACGTCCATCGTGTATTTTACTTGTGCTTGAAGCTACCCCCTCTCTCACCGACACGAATCAGCCCGCCTGAGCACGTGTTGAACAGCACCGTGGACTCCTAGACCCTTTAGGCAGACTGAAAAGGCTCCTATCACCCATTTTTAGCTCTGCCAGAGATTTCCACTGTTTTCTTGTTATATCTGCCATAACTGGGTCCAAAAACTAGAAGTCTAGAAAGTGCAGGTCGAGGATTTTGGTACTGGCGGCCCTGGTGGTGTCTGATTCGCTGTTTTTGTTTCTCCCTGAAGAATGTTTCTTCAGAGGCTGCACATACGCCAGATGGACCGTTTGAAGGCTATTTATGACTATAGGCTTGTTCGTGCATTATTTAATGTCTTTCTGAGGCATCTCCTTAATGATCGTATGCTTCGAACTGCCTCAATGCTTCAAAATCATTGTTTTGTGTCGTTCCTTACTGAACGGCGCTGGACCATGCGTGCCCGATTGGTGGGACATTTTCAGGCTCCATTGGGGCCGAGGCCTTTGGTTAAAAGGGACAAATCATGACACCATACAAAATGTCCCACATTTATCTATCACGTGCATTACTTTTTTGCACACGATTTTTCGATTTAGCGACCACCATTGACGTTTACTTTTTAACATTTAAAAAAAAAATCACCCTGTAAGTTGCCGCGAGTTGAAGTGGTTCAGTTCTGTAGTCTCCAGTGACTCAAGGGCTATGTGCTCGGCGGCACGCAACTCGGCAGGATAGATGTCGCTCGTGAGAGGTAGGTATGTGCTGTTCTGGTTTGCGAGATGCATTTCATGTGTTTCATTCTCCACGCTCATGATATGTAAAAAAAGATAACTTCTGAATTTATGTGCTAATCATTAATTAACATCAAGATATTTACGTTTTTCTCAATGCTTACAAGTTACAGAAAGTTTGAAATTTAATTACTTTGACATAAAACAAAGAAATTAAACGAGCGGCGTAAATGACCTATCAGAAAGGTTTGTGGAGTCCGACTGCTTTGGTGTAATGGATGGGGATTGGGATAAGACGTCGGTTCGTTCACAGCTTTGAAGGCGATAAACTTAGATTATTTACTTTATAAAAGCAAAACTGCATTATTAGAGCTTCGCATTTTTTCCCATGTAAGAAGCTCGCAGTGCAGTCGAATACTTTATGCAGCATCGGCTATTTTTATGCCACATACAGTTAGCTACTCTCAAATAAGCATGGTCGAGTGTATCATTAAATCTTTCTTGGCTTAATACAGTGCAGGAAAGAAGGCGGTTGAACCTAAAAAAATGTCGACCAGTCAAGCGTCCAAATTGCATCTGTGCGTAGTGAACTTTTCCGTGCCTATCGCCGACTTTCCAATTCCCATGACCAGCTTTTGGAGGGAATTGCCATACAAACAGAGAAATCCCTTCGCTGCGCGTCGTGCCCGATTAGCTGGTATTTGGAGCGTGGCGACTCTAAGACGGTTCGCTGCACACACCAATAAAAATCGCAGCTTTAGTTAACACAGTAGCGAACGGAATCCAATAACAGAAGTTTTATTGGCATCTTTTGTCTTATTTCGCCGTTTAACACGCATCAAGGAACGTGTGATCCCATAAAAAGAAACAGACCTGTAAATGCGTAACTACTCGCAGACAGTTTCGCTCAAGGCCCTAAAACAAAGTTCCGCTTCATAAGCTGCTGTTTCACGTGTTCAGGGGCTCCTTAGAGCATTTCTTCAATATTCCACCCTTGGAACCACGGACATACGTATCATTGGTCATACAAATTCCAAGAAGGCGCTGAAGTGACTGACCTGACGGAACCGTATCCCTATCCCTTTCTAGCGCATTGCTTCAGCTCTTCATTTTTTGTTGATTTAGGTATGCGCATTGCACACATTTCCATAGCAGTATGTGATTACGGAGCGAGCGAAGCGAGCGTAGTCTTTCCTTAGATTAACGGAAATTCCTGAGTATGAGCGGCCGGCCGGCCGGCCGGCCGGCCGTGGTCACGCTTTTGCGAGGCTTATATCTCAGCAACCACATGACCGATTTACACGCGGTAATTTTTGTAGGGTAGCTTCATTCCTTCTACCAAGTATTGGACTATTCCCGATGCATGTGGGTGACCCCTTATGCACGTGCCACGTGCAAAAAGAAGAGGTGTCCGTTTTGTAATTGTTGCAATATCTCGGTAACTACTTGGCCGATTGCGCTGAAAGTTGGCATGTAGGTAGGCAACCACTTGGCACTGCATATCCATGTGCCAGAGTTGGGGTGCTGCTGCGCGTGGCACGTGCAGGGGTCGTTTCCAGATCTCGAGAACGGCTCGACCGATTGCGCTCAAATTTGGTACACAGTTAGGGACCGGTTAGTAGGGTGCCGTACACAAGTCAGTTGGGACCCATTTTGCACGTGCGCACGTGCAGGGTGCCGCTTCCAGATCTCGAGAACGGCTGGGCCGATTGTGCCCAAATTTGGCACGTCGCTAGAGACCGGTTAGTAGGGTGCCGTGCACAAGTGAGTTGGAGGTACCCCCTCGCAATTTCGCACGTGCAAGGCCCACCCTCTCGCTCGCTCCGTTAGTCGCCCCAAAAGGCGTTATACTGGTTTACCTATACGTAGAATGTATCACACATATCTAAAGAAATCGCCATCCCATCAACCCGCATACCTTACTTATTTGTTTGTTTTTGTTTGTTTTGTTGGGTTAGGCCCTTTCGGTCCAATGAGACCATTTCAGAGCCGGGAGGATATAGGGGGAGACATTGGTCTGGGCAGGCACCCTAGTGAGTCGCCGGGGCTGAGCCCGTCCAGAGAACAGGCCACCCAGCCCCAAGGCACTCACTGCACCCGGCTACGGGGTGCGCTCCCTCGGGAGCAGCGGTGCCGCTCCAAGGGAGCAGCCCGCATGAGATAAAGTTGCCTGTCCAGCCCGGAGGGGGGGGGGGGGGGTGCGGCGTGGAGGAGAAGGATTTCAGTATCCTGACTCCTGAGCATAGAAGCACGGAACGGTGATCATACCTTACTTACCGCTTATTCGGTGCAAGGGCACTCTGGTATGCATTCCGATCATGTGGTCGATGTCTCTCATGTGTGACAGACTCCAAGGGCACCACGCCCTGCCTTCAGAGGGCACCACCACTACCCCAGCCGTATCCCCCCCCCCGCCTACCGCCTCCGCCTACCGCCTCTTCTGACCCAGCCGCCTCCGCCGCCCCAACCCGCCGCCATGGCCGCGGTCGGGGCGGCAGACTAGCCCGCAACTTTCACTGGCGGCGTCGGCACGCATTGGGCCGGGTCACGCATAGCGCCAAACGTGGCGAGGGTGACCACGGTTCGTCGGAAGGTCATCTCAGGCTCAAAAGAAACGATATATACCATTCGAAAGCTGACGGTGAGCTGAATCCAAAAATGTAATTTTTATCAAAATCGATCGATGGCCTTTTTTGAAAATTGCGTTTTTGTAAAAAACTTTATAATCTTGTGTTCAAAGGGCTATCCCGGACATTCTTGAAAACATAAACATGTATTTTTGAATTCCAGTGAAAGATGAACGCCAAAAGAACAATATTTAGTGGAGCAATGTTTCCAAACATTAATATGCGTCTCCCACAGCCGACAATAAGGCGCAATCACACAGCTCAGTGTCACGATGGACTAAAGTCAGCCACACAGAAGCGTGAAATGACCCTTATCGACTTGCAGACCCGGCGCTGTCGGCTCACCTGACCGGTCACGGAATGAACGTTCGGCTCTCGTTCTACTAAACAAATGTCATATTTGTCAATTTAACTGTCCACATCGCTATTAAAGCTATTCAGGATACCTGTGAAGAGAATTCATTGTTCTGCTGGATTTACAACATGCTTTAATTTACATTTTTCTTGTACATGTTTTGTTCCATCCAGCTGCGCTCAGTGCCCGCGCAGGGGAAGTGAGCGGGGTTTCACTGTCAGAGACTGTACTGGTGACAGCTGCTCGGCCGTGCGACCGGTCAAAGGTAACCCTGCCCCACTGGGCGCTACCCCCACTCCACCCGAGCTGAGGCCGGTGCAACCTCTGACATTTCAGCGCGGCCCATTTTCCTTATATGGGCATGATACCAAGCTCAATTGAGCGAAGTAGACATGAACAAATGCAAATTAATGCATGATGTGAAGATGACAGAACAATGAATTTTCTTCACA